TTACGTAACGACGAAATGTGCCAATTTATGTAACGATCGATTTGGTGTGGTCGCGTCGTTACCTTGTCTTTTCTCTCAATCTCGCCATTTATTATTATTAAATTATTTTATTTATCATTTACCCTACTTTTTTATATAGTAATTTTACCTTGTATCATATTTTGTTTATAATTTGCAAGTTTATTCTTCATATTGCTGGTGCGTGATATCATGAAACGATGACAAACGACACAATCTATCCAAATATTGTATTTATCAAACGATATAGTACAATACAATACAGTACGATACGATACATTATTAAACGATGCGTAACAACCATCCAAACAAGTCGTAAAGATAGAAATATTATTTCTGATAAACCCTTGACTCAGAAAAAGAAACGTCATAGTATTATCGAAACGAAATATGATAATGATTAAACCATGCAAAGAAAACAATAACACGAATACACGAAGCAATACCAACAAACTAGGAAACCTTTTATGACATGTAAAAATACATGGATAAAATAAAATATATTTTTACCATCAATATATATAACTTAAATTCATACTTGGTGCCCAAGCTTCTACTATTTGTTGAGGGTGAAGGACTGATTTCTCAAATAGTATGAAGTACTATATTTTGCCGGTTGCTGAGGTAGCAAAGCTAATGAGCTAAAATCCAATTGAGAATTTTGATAATTTGCTTCAGATGTTTTATCCTTGAAAGAAAACTAACTTTACTTGTATTTAATTCTCCAATTTTTAACAAGTACTTAGTACTCCAATATATATGTGTGTAATTTTGTAATTTTTCTAAGCTTCGTAGGTAACTCATCATTAAAGCACAAAAAAAAGTATAAAAAAGAATTTAACTTCTATAAAAAAGTATAAGATTTTCGCCAACAAAGTTCAATACATTATATATATATATATATATATATATATATATATATATATATANGCCCATGACAATATGAGCACAATATTACAGCCAACACGTTTTCAACAAATTGATTTGCAGTGACGAATGAAACATTTGACGTGCATGCAATTGATGTTTGAAAATTAGGAAAATCTTAAACTAAAGTGCATTATATAACATATCTAAAATATATATAAAAAAAAAAACTATAAAGATATGCTCCAAGTAAAGAATGGTATTGGATTGGTTTGGCCACCTCCATTATCTAGAGACTAGAGTGTGAACACTTGTTTAAGTTATTATTATTATTATTATTATTATGAAATGATCTACATTGTCAATTTACTTGGCCTGGTTGAGACGTGTCATCAATATTACTAGCAAGTTTGTCCAAGAATCATCAAAAATTCTCAAAACACCCTTCTCATCATAGCATTTCCATTTTTCTTTTGTTTTTTCTCCTTTCCTCTATAGGGAGGAATATAAATCAGCCAAACAACAACAACAGACCCATTTAAGTCACATAATGGAGTCTGGAAAGGGTAGCGTGTACGCAGACCTTATCTTTATCCTAATGGATCAGCCACATAAAGTTAATAAAAAGCTTTTTTTGATCGAATAAATGAAGTTAATAAAAAGTTGTGATAACGTTATCTTTGTTAGTTTTGTGTTATTTTTCATGAAAATACATCAAGCGTCGAGAGCTGCCGAGAGCTGGTGCAAGTCAGGGGCGGACATAAAGTGGATATGGAGCTTTGATTCCAGATTATAAATATATATTAAGAGAAATACAAAAATATAAAACAATTTTTTTTACTTCAAACTCAATTATTAATACTTGAGGTTGTTGTTTTAAACTCTCGAACTCATAAAATTCATATAATAAATTTGCCTTCGAAATAAGGGGGGACTAAATGACGAATTACTAACTACAAAAAGAGCGAGAAATTGGACCAAACCACAGAAAAATTAGTACGGCGATGCTATTCCAATTTTCAACTAGGGGTGTACTTGGACCGGGTTGGTTCGGTTTTTATTAAAACCAAACCAAACCAATTATATCGATTTGGATTGGTTCGGTTTTGTCGGGTTTTTCGGGTTTTCGGGTTTTCGGGTTTTTTTGTTACATAAATATTATTTCAATCTTACTTTGTTAAAATTATAGATAAAACTTTGATAAGTGAATATATGTTTAGTAAATATGGAAAAAAATTGATGAACATATGATCTATTAAAATATTCTAATGAGAGATTTTAGTAACACATGATAGTTATTTTCTGTTAATTTACGCTTTCAAGGTTAATACATGAGAGGATCCCAAATATTTCTATATTTTCTAAAAATATAAATAAAATTTATATATTTATATGTCGATTTGATTCGGTTTTTTTTACTCAATATCAAACCAAGTCAAACCAAACCTAATCGGGATTTTTAATCGGTTTGGTTTGGTTTTTCGGTTTAGTGCGGTTTTCCAGTTCAGTTTGAACACCCCTATTTCCAACCACTCGGCTTTCACATTTTCCTTTTCTTTTTTGGTGGCTTCTCTCTTTCTTTTGTGTCACCTCCAATCACATTATTAAAGTTAAATATCCCTTCTTCGTTTTGGGAATACTACCAACACCATCTCAATGACTCAAGCATTCTTAATTTTTTTGTGTCGGTGGTGTTCCATCAAAATACAATAATGACAAATTCAAAGTAATCATATAAGTAGAGTCTGGAAAAAATAGTGTGGACATAATTTTATCCTTATTTTGTAGAAATAAAGGGGCTATTTTTGATAGATTCTTGGCTCAGAAAAAGCATAATCACAATACTTGTTTATATCAACGGTGTTCGGGCACATTAAATAACGGTATAAATAAAAAACATTTTACACGAGTGTAATTTAACTCTTATTTCTACCTCATACTTTATATTTGTGTTCTACTGCTCTTCGTTTTAGTTGCTGTAAAAAGTTCTTGGCTTAATAGATGAAAGGTTAGGAGCAGCACATGTGGGAGATGATTATGGGGAGTGTGTGTTCTGTGTTCATGCTGATCAGTTTGCCACATGATTTGGTTAAACCAATAAAATGGCTTGCAAGTAAACTATCAACATTCCAATAGTACAAAAATTTTATAAAATGGTTCAAAGTAAACTCTCATGAGCGATAACGACGATGACAACAACAACATATCCAGTGTTATCCCACATCGTGGGATCAGTAGAGGATAGTGTATACGCAGACCTTACCCCTACCTTTATAAAGGTAGAGATGTTGTTTCCAATAGATCTCATCCCCGCCCTATGTTCTCTTACATTGCAGAAACTTTCATGAGCGATAACAACAACAATAACATACGCAGTGTTATCCTACATCGTGGAGTATGAGGAGGGTAGTGCGTACACTAGTGATGAAGCCAGAAATTTCTCCAAGGGTATTCAAACTTGAAAGAAGAAGAAAAAAATTTCCCGACAAAGGGTGTTCAATATATGTTATATGCCTCTAAAATCAAATATTTTACCTATATATAATGTAATTTTTTGACGAAGGGTGGTCAAAGGTGGTCAATTGACCACATGCTCTTTCGCCCTTGGTGCACACAGACCTTACCCCTACCTTTGTGAAGATAGAAAGATTGTTTCCAATAGATCTCATGAGCGATGACCATCCAAAAAAATTGATTTTGGGAAATGGTGAGATTTGACCATGGATATTTTGGTTATTCTAGGATGAATTTTTTTCCGAACTATCCGGTAGTTTTTTTTAACCCTTCACAGGAGCTCCCTACTTTGCTTCATTAATGTCGCGAAAGGTTGGAAGTGAAAGATACGTACCACTTGAGTAACCCTTTCTTGTCTGTCTAGTAACTTATTGCTCTGATTAATTTGAGTTATCGTTAGGTAGGCCGACTAAAAAGAATAAAACTTGCGGTCTACTTAAGTGTCCTATGTTTCCCACCATATTCCTCGACGGCACGTATTTTAGGTTGGATTTATTTCCCAAAAAATGGTCTTAAATCTTGAAAATTTCATTTTTATTGAAAAAACTCCTGGTTTGTTATAGTTTAAATAATAGGGTAAGTGGAAGAGACAGGTGAGTCATTTGACAGATTCAACTTACAATAATCATATCAATTAGGTCGAAAGTACTCGAATCTCTTCTTTATTTTCTAAGATAAGGAATGTGGCAAATACTGGCTGTTAAAGCGTTTGAATCTTGAAAACTACGTAAGTTTTTTGTGTTTTCTAAAGCAAATAGGAGCAAAATTGTGTGTAAAGGTATTTGCTTTCTCTTCAAAATAAAATTTCTAAAGCAAATAGAATAAACTAAAGAAAACAAGACATACCTATTGTGAATTTGGGAGCGATAAACCTCTTGCATTTTATTAACCAAAGAGATTCGATTTTGCACTATAGTTAGCGTTGTATTAAATTGCATAACGATAAAAAAAAATTGCGTCACCTAACTCGAAGACGAAAAGTATTTATTTATAGTTGATACTTGTATTAACTTAAATTTAAATAATAATCCATATCATTAAATCATAAATTAAATTATTAAAACAAATAATACAACACAAAATTGTATTCATTTGCTTGGGGTAATTTGGTCGAAATTGAAGATTGAAGTAAAGTTTCATCCGTTATAAAAGAAATGCTAGATCCCTCCATCTTCTTTTTTTTAAAAAGAAAATTACAATATATAATCAATAACGGGTGTTGAAGTCTGTTCGGACACACTTTGGCTATATTACCTGTGAGTCTGGTGAATATCTGTTATCTCTCATCAACACATATACCAATAATTCCGTCAAAGATCAAGACTTAACCAAATGGAGAAGAATAATAGACTTCAGTATGAAGTTATTTATGGTAGACAGTCTCCCACAGTGGTTTTTCAGGTGCACATTCGGATTAATCGGATCCCAATACAAATACGGGTTACATAATAAATAAAAAACAAAACAAAATAAAAATTATAATACAACAAAATCTTGGGGAGGAAAAGAGAAATCAGGAAAAGAGAGAAACATGACCTTTTTTCATGTCTTAAAAGTTAAAACAAGTTAATATTTAAATGGAAAATAAATAGAGGCAAAGAAGGATTAGAAATAGGAATTGAATACGAAACACGAGTCCCTCACCGTCTGAAGAAAAGCCAAAACCAAACCACGCAAAAAAGAAGAGAAAGAATTAAGCAAAGAAGAAGAACAAGAAAGAAAAAAACAAGGGGTTGCCCCTCTCTTTCTCTCTTTGGACTGATTCCTTCCATTCCCATCTCTCTCTTTCATATATTCTTTCAGAAAAAAGCATATAGCATAGCATCCAAGACAATTGAGGCAAGCAAACCAATAGAAAGCAAAGTTTTTGAAGAAAAGAAAAAAGAAAAAGTTTTAGGTATAAACAAATTGTTTGATGGTGCTCTTGGTAATAGTGGTTGTGTCCTCTTCTTTGAGAGTGGTGCACGGTTCGAAACTGTTTGATATTTTTCTCTAAATTGATTTTGAAGGGTCGTTGAAGACATAGACGGATCCATGATTTAATGTTTATGGATTCCTGCAACAATCTCGAGTAAATTTTCAATAGTAGTTGGGTTCTCATTCAAATATTTATAGACATTTAGTAAATTTTTCGAATACATTTACACTGTTTGAACAAAAATTATTGGATTCACGTAAACTCGTAGGCGGCAAGGTAGATTCACCCATTATTGAAAAAACTATTATAATTCATGGCATCTTCTTCTATTTCATGTTGTTTATGTGTTAGCCTTTATTATTAGCTCTTTCCCCTTCTCTCTCTTTCTCTTTTCTCTATTCTATCCCCACCAATCACACCTCTTCATTGCCAATTTCCACAACCATAAACTTATCTTCATATATTCATTCAATTCTCATTTTTAAATTCATGGCTGTTCAAGCTCAATACCCATCAAATGTTCTCTTTCTAAACAGAAATGTACAAGAAGGAAAGAGCCAAATTGGCAACAATTATTCATTACAACATCAACAAGGTGGAGGTTTTGGTGAATCATTTCTTGATCCAACACAAATGCTATTCAATCCAGGAGGTAAACATGACTTCCTTTAATTTCTCTTTTGTTGATTCATCAATTGTGTATTAGACACAAATTTGAATGCCACGTAGAATAGACCAACATGGATTTTTTCTCTAATTATTCACGCCATAAGGGTCCATTCGAGAGGAAGCGTTCCCTATCAGGATTTCTTTTTTTTTAGGATTTGAACTCGAGACATCTGATTAAAGAGAAAAACAGATCGTACTTTCAACTAATTGATTATTGATTGATATTCAAGGCAAAAAGGAACTGATGTTATCTCTGTTTTTGCAATGCCAGTTGGGGCGAATTCGCGAAAGAGAGGAAGAGAACATACCTCACCTACTACAACTGCAGCATTGAATCCATTAATCTCAATGCAATCTCAGCCGCAGCTCATTGATCTAACTCAGCTTCACACACCGCAGCAGCAGCAGCAACAACAACAACAAACAAATATTGTATCTACAGGTCTTCGTTTAGCTTTCGAAGATCAATCGCATCAACAGCGACAACTATACTCTGTTTCTCCTCAATCCTCTCAATCATCAATTTTACTAAAAGAAGATTTGGCTTCTCATTTCAAACAGCAACAAGACGAAATTGAACATTTCCTCCGAGACCAGGTATGATCGAATACATATAATGCTTTTTATTTTAAAAAATATATTAATCCATATAATCCTTAGCATGTTAAAAAAAATTGCTTTTTTCGTGCTTAGAATTTGTCACTTACAAATTGCTAAAAGAGCAATTAACTGGTGATTTAAATCAATTTTACAACAAATGATCGCTTTGGAATATGTAATGTATGTATATGCGGATTACTTAATAAATCACATGATAGTGTACATTTTTTTAAAAATATTTTTGTTAAATTTTTTTATAGGGAGAACAATTGAGGCTTACTTTAGAGGAGAAAAGGAAGCGGCACTATCATGCGCTGTTGGGAGCAGCGGAGGAAACAATAGCACGAAGGTTAAGAGAAAAGGATACAGAAGTAGAGAAAGCAACGAGACGCAATGCGGAGCTAGAAGCGCGTGCTGTACAACTGACAGCGGAGGCGCGTGCGTGGCAAGCGAAGGCACGTGAGCAGGAAGTCACTGCGGCAACGCTGCAAGCACAGCTGCAGCAGGTGGCAATGATGAACGGCGGAATCAACCTTCCAGAGAGAGATGACGGCGGCGGAATTTCCTGCTGCGGAGAGGCGGAGGATGCCGAGTCAGCGTTCGTTGACCCGGACCGGGTCGTTGAGTCAACTGGACCGAGTTGCAAGGGCTGTCGAAAGCGGTTCGCTTCGGTTGTGATGTTGCCGTGTAGACATTTGTGTCTTTGTACAGAATGTGATGCTGTGGCCCAATCTTGCCCACTGTGTCGATCCATTAGAAGCTCAAGTGTTGAAGTCTTTCTTTTTTAGCAGGCCCAATTTAGGCCCACCTTTTTTCGTGTCAAATACACAAATAGCTCTCAAAGTGGATGGTCTCGATTTTTAGTACGCTTGTTCCATAGGTAAAACTTTAAGTTTAACAAATATTGTCCTCTCTTGCTTTTGCCCCATGGACAACACTTTTAGCTTTTGACCTTAAAGTTCTGTCCGTAAGGTGAGGGTCAAAAGTTAAAGACCACCCCCAAAAAATAGCGCATATGTATGAGACAAATAGTAAAAAACTGAATGATATATGGTACAAATCAGAAAATGGTGCACTGAATAAGGATGCAAAATGCAAAAACTTCATCTAGTGAACCAGCCCACTTCTTCCTCTAAAAAGAAAAGAAAAGAAAATAGGATAATAAGGAATTATAGTATGCTTTAATCTTTACCTAAAATATGAAATGGTAAAAGATCTTGTGGTCTAACAAGTTCTAAATAAGTTGAAAAGATTGCTTAATTACAGCTTCTACAAAAATTTATAGGAATATGCTAAAACCACATTAATTGGTTTGCTAAGGACATCAATTGCAACCAGCAGCGGACCTACCCATGAGTTTAGAATTGACAACATTTTGTGTTTTGAAGTTAAAGGTATATGTATATATCTCATTCACTATATTTATCTATTATATAAGTACGAAATTCCGATCTTAAATATTAATCGATTTTTTATCAATTTTCAATATTTTAAAGTAGTAATTTATCTGAAGTTTGAACTATAATATTCAGTATGTCAAAGCAAATTAGTGAAGGTAACAACCACACTACTACAAAAATTATAAAGATCGAGAGACTGAATGAAAAATCAAGCACACCATGCATATCATTCCTTGTTCGGACAAATATAGTTTTATATAGTCACAATTACTTTTGTCAACTAGAAAGGTAACAAAAACTACTAAAGAAATTTTAGAAGATATGAGGCAAAAGTCACCTACAATCCTAATTTATTATTGGATACGACAGATTATAAATAAGGTTACGCTTCACTTTAGCGTAGCCCTTGTGACCCCAATTCTCTCCCCAGCCGTTCTTCACCAGATAGTACTTCTCTCCTCCTTTTTCTCCATATCCCACAGTTACTAGGTTTTCTTCTCCTAAATTTAGTGAGAGATTTGAAAATGCGAGACGAAAGTCAGAAAGCTTATATGATTCTATTTCTTCAAAGTTTCTGCCGTTTTCTTTTGGTATTCAAGTCTTTTCTGTTTGGGGTTTCAAGTTGTGGGAATTCTTAGTTGGTTTGTAATGTTGATTACTTCTGTTTTGCTGATTTTTCTGTTGATTATTCACTCTAATTCTCTACACATTGGTACCCTTTAAACTCTTATGTAATAGTTTGATGAAGACCTTGAAACAAGATCTTGATAGTAATACTTATTTTCACTTTTTAGCATGACTCTGTGTTTATTTTGAGTAAAGAGCATGTTAGGATATCAAAAGATTTGATTTGTTGATATCTTTTAACATGTATAACTTGAATCATTCTCAAAGATGTTAAATAGGAAATTGGTCAAAAAAACGTCTTTAAATTTTCAGTTTCAGCTCAAGTGGCAGCTTTCGAGATCATATTTAATCTTGCATAGGTCATAGGGTGTAGAAAGGAATCAATAAAATTCAGGCCAGGTCGCCCACCATATTCTGAACTAAATAGCTCATAACAAGGAGTCACTAAGACATTTATCAAGAACGTGCATCTGCTTAAAATATAAGATAGATCGGTTGGGCTACAGACCCGATCTATCAACAACAATAAGTTAATGAGATGTTAGTCATGTGTTCACGGTACATCATCTTGGATCTTGTTATCAAAAATATTATCTATTAATATGAATATTTAAGTAGTTTAATTTAAATTCCTGAAATATTGGGCAAAATTCTACTAAAAACATAAGAATTTGAAATAAAAAATTAAAAAACTTGGAAATGCAATTTATCACATTCTTAAAATTGCCATACAACAAAATATTGAAGAATTTTTATTGGGTTTGGTGGCTATCAAAGTTAGTGCGTAGTAACTAATTTGCAACTTCAAAAAAAGTTAAATAAAAAAATACTATATGGAAGAAGAAAAAAGTTCACTGGCTGGGATAAGCTTTACCTTCTCTTTTCCTTTATTTCAATTGTCTTCTCCTCTCACCTTTCACCATTTCCTTTCACAACAGTGGAAATGGACGGTAAAAATGTGTCACCATTCATAAAAAATATTGATGCATACAAATTAAGTTAGTATAAACAACACTTTAAAAAGTGAAAATAATCTTTTCTCAAAAGATGAGAAATTGAGAATGATAGAGGCATGGCACTGCGGGTGGCTCGGTTGTAAACTATTTTTTAAATAGGGTAGAATTGGGTATTTCTATATAGTTAATTGGCTACAATGATTTATAATGTAACCTAGATGTTTACTAAAATATATTGTGCATAATTATGCCAAACAATAGGTGTATTGAATTTCTAACATTAGAAGCTTATAAATCCAAAGGGGTATCAATGATTTGACATGGAGTTCTAAAAGAATACATCTTGACGTTATAATGTCTGAAAAATCAAGGTATATGGTTTGGTACTGATCACGCCCAAGTATATCTTATAAAAAGGATAAAGAGATCGCTGCAAATATATTCCGGAATTTCTTTTGTAAGAAGAAGCAGGATGCTATAACTGACTCCATTGAGTCCGCTATGAACAATCCACCCTTTTCTGGATTATTCCCGCATTTTTGCGCCAAAAAAAAACTGATCAAAGTTGGTCAGTATATTAAAAAAATAAAATAATTTTAAAAACCGATCAACTTTGATCAATTTTTTTGCGAGATTTTTGACCGACCAAAGTTGGTCGGTCGACCTTGATCGATTTTTGCCGAATTTCTACTAGTGAATGCATTCCTAATATATATGAATCATTTAGTACAACATTTTGCGCAACATACTTAACCCCAACATATAATCTTAATATCACATTTGAAGCACGAAATGAATTTAAGAGCATTATTAAGAAACTCGCGAGCATTAGATACCCTTCAAGATTGAAAATTACATCCTACATTGGGTAAAATTTTGCACGTATATACTCAATTTGCTACATAATTTATAATGTGACCGTAGAGTTTACTTATAAATATACCAATTGTACATAATTATCCCTACCAATAGATGATATAGATTTCTAACTCTACAAACACTATAAAGCAAGTTGTCCCTTGATTTGACACGGAGAAAAGAAGACATGTTGACGTTACAATAATTTCCGAACAATCAAGGTAAACAATTTGGTACTATCCAAAAATCTCTTATGATTTTTCAGACCACAAAGCTATTGTTATGACTTATTTAATGCTATAAATTTCAAAAGTTATAATTTTTTTAAATTCCGTGCTAGTTAAAGTTGTCTTATAAACCCTTCGAAGTTGCCCGATTGGTTTGGAGGGTGGTAATCCATATGGATGACCTGACATCGAATCCCCCCTCAATGCCTTCTGGGTTGAGTCTGTCGTACAGGGTTTGTCTAGTGTATTTTACATCTCATGTGTGCAAGCTATTACACATGGAGATATATATTCAGTATGTACAAAGTACTCACCACAGGGTACTTACCCGAATGGCAAAGAATATGGCATAAATTATAGCGTCTGCGAGTTTCCTTTATTACAGAAAAATGAAAGTCATCTTATAAATTGGGATTGAGAGAATATGATTTTTCAGTCGGCAAAGCTACTGTTAAGTTTCTTACACCGTATTATTGATTTATGTTAGGTGTGAAGTAACCAATTCAAATCTTGAAATTTTTTCAATGAATGTTGACAAACAAATTTTGCAAAAGCAAAATATATCTTAGGCCGGTGGTTTGGTGACTAGCCATGTTTAAAAAAAAAAAAAACACTCTCAAATAAAGAAAGTTGTTTGTGTCATGTACCCTTTTCGTTGGACTGAGTTTCAATCAACAATAACAATTCAGTAGAATTTCACCGGAGGGGTCTGGGAAGGGTAGAGTATACGCAGATTTTATCTCTATTCCGAAGGTATAGAAAGGTTATTTTCGGAATACCCTTAGCTTAAAGACAATAGATTCGTAACAATAATAAAAATCAGAAAAATAATATCAACATAAATTTTAATCATAAATTACAATTGAAAAAAATAGTCCATTTATTCCGTCTATATCTTAAGTAAAGTCTCAAATCTCAATTATAATTTGAATTTAAATTGTCGCATTTTCATCATCCTTATCGGGGTAGAGGTAAGGTCTGCGTACACACTACCCTCCCCGAACTCCACTTGTAAAATTTTACTGGATCGTTATTGTTGTTGTTATTGCATTTTCATCATATGGTCAAGAAGTGTCACAAGATTGAAAATCTGTTTTCTCTGTCATTTCAAAATAAGAAACAGAGTCTCTCTTGTCATCTCTGAAATGATATTGTTGTTTTCTATCCTTTTTTAAAAATAAAATATGAAAGAAGAAGTAAAGAGAGTAGAAGGATAAAAAGGTTATTTGTCTTGTCTATAAAACAAAAGAGCCTATTTTTGCAAAGCATTCAAAAATGTGAACAAAATTTAGTGGGCGCTTGGACATAAGAGTCGTAAAACTTTAAAAAAAAGTGAAATTTTTCTTCAAGTGAAAATGATATTTTGAAAATTAGAGTTGTGTTTGGAGATGAATATAATTTTAGATTGTTTTTAAATTTTTATGAGTGATTTGAGTGAAAATTTTGAAAAACAATCTTTTGGAATTTTTCAAATTTTCGAAGATTTCCAAAATTTATCTTCAAGTAAAAATTAAAAATTTTATGGCCAAACACTGATTTCGGAAAAAAGTAAAAAAAAAACATGGCCAAACGGGCAAACTCGGCAGGGTACATCCTACACAAATTGCTAAGGGATCTTTACACAAATAGTTAGCAGATTCATTATATACTTTCTCTAATCGATATTTATAGATAATATACTAATTATATATAGAGTTATATACATATTACACATGAACTATATATAAATTATTTATCCACACATTATTTTTAATTTAAAAAGTATGGCCAAAATGGCTATTCAAGTTAATTCATCAAT